ATTCAGTAGAAATATCAGCCGTCATACAGACACTGCGGAATGAGGGCGTCGATGAAGTATATATAAACATCCTGGAAGAAATCTACAGGGGATCAACTGCTACCATAGTGCTTCATAAAGAAAGCAACAGAATACCAATCAAGAAGGGTGTAAGGCAGGGGGACACAATGTCCCCAATGCTATTTACCGCGTGCTTACAGGAGGTTTTCAGAAGCCTAGGATGGGAACAGCTAGGGATAAGAGTTAATGGAGAGTACCTTAGTAACCTGCGCTTCGCCGATGACATTGCATTGCTGAGTAATTCAGGGGACGAATTGCAACTCATGATTACGGAGTTAGACAAGGAGAGCAGAAAGGTGGGTCTTAAAATGAATCTGCAGAAAACGAAAGTAATGTACAACAACCTCGGAAAAGAGCAGCGCTTCGAGATAGGTAATAGTGCACTTCAATTTGTAAAAGACTATGTCTACTTAGGGCAGGTCATAACCGCGGAGCCGAACCACGAGATTGAAGTAACTAGAAGAATAAGAATGGGGTGGAGCACATTTGGCAAGCACTCTCAAATTATGACAGGTAAATTGCCACTATCCCTCAAGAGAAAGGTATATAACAGCTGTATCTTGCCGGTACTTAGCTACGGTGCAGAAACCTGGAGACTTACAAAGAGGGTTCAGCTTAAATTGAGGACGATGCAGCGAGCAATGGAAAGAAGAATGGTATGTGTAAACTTAATAGACAAGAAGAGAGCAGAGTGGATTAGGGAACAAACGGGGGTTAAGGATATCATAGCTGAAATCAGGAAGAAGAAATGGACATGGGCTGGGCATGTAGCGCGTAGACAGTATAACCGCTGGTCGTTAAGGGTAACTAACTGGATTCCCAGAGAAGGCAAGCGGGTTAGGGGGAGACAGAAGGTTAGGTGGGCAGATGAGATTAAGAGGTTTGCGGGTATAAATTGGCAGCAGCAAGCACAGGACCGGGCTAACTGGCGGAGCATGGGAGAGGCCTTTGTCCTGCAGTGGACGTAGTCAGGCTGATGATGAGACATAAGGAAATGTGAGCGGACATAAAGCTGATGGTAATAATTCAATTGACTAGATTGGACGAGAGGTTGGCAAAACAATGTGGAGCTCGCTCATCAAATATGCCTCGCCCTTAGGGCTCTCTCGGACTCACCCTCATGAAAATTTTTCTCAGTTGTACTCACACTCGTCAAAATACTAATCACTCGAACTCGCCGAGACTCGTGGCTCTATCGGGGTCTAATTTGACTTGTGAGCTTGTTTGCCGACCTATGGAGCCTTTTCGAAAACTTAGTTAGGCTTTACTTTGTTGAAATGAGAAAGAATCTTAAATACCATGTACTCGTTGAGTAGTTACAATGAAATTGCATACGACATCAAAGGCATCCCTGAGGCAGTATACCAAGCCTGAGACACCGAAGCTTAAAACATGTTCCCCCGATAAGGTTAAGCCCATTTTTGAAAGAGGAGTAATCGGAAGTCAAGTTCTAATACAAGAATATTTTGGACATGACAAAAGGTAATGTGCAATATTTTTTAGTTCTCAGCAGAGTTGGCGGAGGAGTGATATATTCGGACCAGACCTGTGCAGGTGGAAGTTTAAATGGGGGGACACAGCATCTAAATCTGGTGGTCGTCACTTTCGATTGTCGAGATTGGCTCCACTGAGACTTTCATAGATATTTTAGGTGCTTATATTCCGTCCTTGTGGTTATTGCTTGCATCCTACTTGTGTGAATAACTAATCTTCTATACCTGATTGCGGTGAAGTATTCTACCACTGGGACAACCTGAACTATTGGGAGAACTAGCAATGAGCGGCTAAGGCGTTGGCCATTTCATTTAATGTTAGCCCACAGTGACGTGGGACCCATATTTATTTCAGGTACTTCAGCTGAAATGAAACTAAAAAAATAATTGGCAAATCTTAGGTGCTTCAAAATCAGCTGCTTTGTCTATTCACTGTTCAGCCTTCACTGCAAGCTACACTTTTTATGTATTGCCTCGCATCTGTGACTTTCAAGGTCCGAACCATACCCTTTGACTGGGCAGATATTTGCTGAATTCCAAGTGATGCTATCTGGAAACCACACACTACACATATCATGCAGGCAGATTGTGACATCACAAACAGCAGGATAACTCGAAAGTAACTTTATTTACACACATTATTCATCACTGACGGCGGGGTGGCAGCTCTTGACAGGCAGGGTATTTGGCAGTGGTAGACCAGGTCCTGCCACTGTTTTTGGCTTCCTTTTTTTTTTTTCAGGGGTGGGTGGTTGGGGGGGGGAGCACGTACCTACACAGAAAAGGTAACGAAAACATTGCATTTATGTGGCAATGTGGATTTATTGGTACTGTATCTGAAAGCAACATATTAGCACCAGTGTAGCACAGTTACAAAGGATGCATACAAACAGATGCACTTGCAGTATTTCGTCAGTGTGCCATGTACACACTGCAACTAGATTATTCAATGTACTTAGTGAGTGCTGACACTCTAGGTGTGCAAAAGAATGTCACCTGCAAATATACACACATGTGCTGACAGAAAATCTGTGTTAGTCTTTCCAAAGTCCGATGGTAAAAACTTTCTTCAGAACATCTATGCTCTACCAGTAAATTTCCATGCCTTCTCCTACAGCACCATTTTCTGGAGGAGAAGCTCCTTAGGGCGCAGGTCTGTACAGCCCATGGGGTTTGTTGTTGGTGATGTACATAGCCACCGGTGGCACATACCCGCGATGGCACATACCCGCTCTAGAGCGGGTATGTGTCACTGGTGGTGGTACTTGTATGTGCAACTAGATGGTACTTGTTGATGATGCTTGTATGGGATGAAATTTAAACATAGTACAAGAATGCACCGTTCATACTAGTTGGTGATTTCAACATTGATATCACAGACACGACCAATAATTGGCTTATTTGGCTTCAAGATATCCACTCAGATGTATATCGTATGACCATATGAAACCAACCATGATCCGAGGAACATGCATCAACGTAGTATTCGCAAATTTCCCACTGCAACCTGTACAGGAATCACTCACCCTTCATTTCGCAGACCATAAAGCCGTCATAATGAAAGGACATCACAAGCCATCCATTGTCTCTAAGAACAAATAAAAGTTGATTTCTATTGTGCTTCTCATGATGTTTTTAGATCATGATCGATTGGGCGAATTACACACCGGAGATTCATGGATTTACCGATGATTCGCTCTGGAGCTTTGCCTGCCCACTCGTCATCATTCACCCTGTGGATATGCCGAGATTCTTTTGCTACACTCTAGGCCTTATTTCACAGAAATAAACGTTTGTCTTTTTATGGCACTACCGCCACCTACTTCTGTTTATAGAAAGTTGGGAGAAGTTCACCATCCATGTATGCTCTGCGAGTATTACATATAAATGTTACTGAAAGTCGGGTGCTTCATTTTCCTATCAGAGCTTTAGTCTCTCCCGCTGACCGACAGGAATGCTGACAGAAACACTGCAGCAGAGATCTTCCTAGGAACAAAACAACCGACCGCAAGAAGACTGCGCTGATTCCTTATGCTTCCGGCGTAAGCGAAGCCCTCGCAAGAATTTTTAGGAGCTAAGACGTACAAGTAGCACACGTGCCATCGCACAAGTTTAGAAACCAGCTGGTCCGCGTTAGACTTATTAAATTGTGAGCACTATTTTAAAGTGGTATATAAAATTCCTCATCAAAACTGCCGCTCATCCAACAAAGGAGAGACAGGCAACTTGAAATGATGCATTGAGCAGCACCAAAATGACGTAGCTAAAAGACGTAACACCACCAACGCACTATCTGAACATCATTTTAACACAGGACACAGCATTGATTGTAATTCTGCGACTGTCATTGGCAGGGAAAAATCACTGTCATCCTGCTTCTTTTGGAATCATTATTAATTCAGTCGACCCCCGTACACTTAATCGGACATGTGGAATTTTACTCAATACTTGCACCAAATCATTGCGTTATCTAGTATAGATATAAAGGCACGGTCCAACTTCTTACGCTTGTATGTGAGTAAGAGACTCGTAGGGGTCTTGAAACGTCATAAATTTTTTTCGTTACAACTTTGGCGAGTGTTTATTTACAAGAAATGTATGCAAGAAACGTTGTTTTGCAAGAAACGTTGCAAGAAACGCTGTTTTGTCGAAACCTGGGTTACTTAATCAAAGAAAAGCGGCGCACAAAAAAGACGCAGACAAAGAAGAGAACCACACACAGCGCTGCACTCACAACTGAAAGTTTAATCCGAGCAACAAGAATTTAAAAAGTAATAGCCGCGCATGACGAGTGAGGTACAACGAGATTAGGTGATACGCTCATCAATAAAAGTGAACTCTTTTTTGTGCAATGTAACCGAGGTCTAGCTTACGCAAGCATCACGTGACTTGTTAATATGATGGGCTTCAGACACCTCACGGGTGAATTGATCGTGGTGCTTAAAAATAATAACAGTGTTAGACAGAAGAGGTGTGCACCCACACGTGGCACAATGCGAAGCTAAATGGGAAGGCGTGCCGTTATGCAAAGAGAGATAGTGCTCCCGCAACCTTTTATTGATACAGCGGCCCGTCTGTGTGTGGTTCTCTTCTTTGTCTCCGTCTTTTTTGTGCGCCACTTTTCTTTGAATATGAATACGCACCAACTCGCCCAACTTTCTATTCTGGGTTACTTAACTTTATCCTTAAGTTTCTTTTCCGACCCACTCAGCTCTCTTCCCGTCTTGTAAGGTTACACACCTATAATTTTCCTTCCCATTGCTCTCTGTGTCGACCTCAATCGATCCTTTCATATTAGTGTAATGCAAGATAGTAAAGTATCATAAAAACATTTGCAAATGAAAAAAAAAAGAACTACATGCATGATTTTGCTCATGTCTTTGGTCATATGACCACAACTAGTCATAGTTGGGGGCATGCAAAGAAAAGAGTGTGGAGAGAGTGAAGGGTAACGGTCTGGAGTGGTGGCTTATCGTAATGTTTTGTGCATGCGTGGTTGAATTAGCACACTCGCCTGATGATGAGGGCGAGATGACAGGGGAGGAGGCGGGGCTGCATCACCGCACCACTGAAGAAGGCCACTCGTGGATGAGGCGTGACACTTCCTCGCGGATCTCGCTGACGCGGAGACCTGTGAGGCCACCGTTCTGCGAGCGCAGCATCTCCAGACAGGCCACCAGCCTCTCCTCGGGCACATCGGGCATGCGCTTGTGCAGTGTGCGTGCGAGGCGCAGGTAACCAGACTTGCGCACCGTGCCGAAGCAGTTGGTTTTGCTCACAGAGCCGCCACCTCCACCGCTATTACCACTGCCACCGCCACAGAGGGTGCTCGTTGGAGACGAGTTGCTGGAACTGCGCAGGTAGTCAAAGTCTGCCACACTCTCCGACCGCGAGATGCGAGAAGACAGCCGCGTCCGCACCAAGTTGAGGATGCGGTCAAAGCCGTAGTCAGGTTCCTGCTGTAGGTGGCAGTGGTGGTCAAAGAAGAAAAAGCAAGTCATTTCAAAAAGGAGATAGTAAATGACAATGGTATAGCCAAGCTCCTAAAACTTAACAAGGCTTAACAATGGACATCTTTAAAAAAAAGCTATTCCTTTCACAGCTTCAGCTGAAAGCGAGCAGATTTGTACCTTCTGCTTACCATGTTTTTCAGACTTTTTATTTGTAAAGTAGTAAGTGATGTGAAGCTAGTTGGTGCTGTGTGCTCCATAAATATGAATCTATGTGACAAAAACTGTCTAATTTGAAAACTTTAGTACCATGTACCCTGCATACAAAGCATCTTTACTGCTGAAGGTCGCATCCTAACGACAGGAGCATCTGCAAAGACAAGCATGTCCGATGAAAGCATGCTTCCATAACTTAAATTGGCTAAGTTAACAAGCCACAACAGCTGTAAAAACAACCAACTATAGCTGCATGCAGTGAAAATAAGAGGACATACCCACGACAGCTTAAAGCCTGCGGAAGGTGGCAGGTCTTCAACTTCTATTTTCTTGTGGCGGCTTGCCCTCTCAAGGCAGCGGGTGAAGACACATTCTGCGCGGTCCCTCTGCAGAGCCAGCAGTTCAGCCCATCGCCTCCAAGGATCGGTGAGCTGACTGAGCAGCTGAACTTTGCCGTTGGTCTGGCCAAATACGTCGAAGTACAGCTTTGACACTGCAGCATTGCGCCTCTCAGCAAGGTCGATGGCACTGGAAAGGTTCTCAAGTATTGTGGAGCGACAAAAGTGGAGAAGCCTCACTGCCTCTTCATGATTGTGTGCACATGCTTCCAGCTCATGGGATCCATCCTCTAGGTCAGAACGATCTTTGTCAAGATCTACGTACATCTGAAAAAAAAAAAAGAAAATACAAGCAGCTCTACAATGCTTGCTACACTGTTTAGTGTGAATAACAGAGAAGTAGGTCATCTGTGGCATCCAACCAAAGCTGTTGAAATGCACTGTGCTGTGCTTAGTGCTGTTGCACTGCTTTCGTGCTTGTACCAGATTCGTGCAGCTTTGCAGCATGTAGCTCCACATATACTGCACACAGCTCATTTGTACACTAAAGAAGTGTAAAATCAGTACATCATTATCGTATTGTCTACATGGAAAGCGGGTATGCTGCCACAGAGCTGTAGCCATGGCAGGCCAACACATGGGATTGCCTAAGACAACTCTTATGGTGATCAGAGAAAATAACAGAAACTGCATGTGTGCCACGAGCGTGTAATGAGGTAGTGTATTCAAATCCAGTGCTCTTGCTTCTATTGTATTACTTGTACTCTGATGTGCTTTTTGACACTCTGCTGGAAGTGATAGATCGAGGCTGATCTTTGCTGTTTAGCATGCACAGAGACCTCAAGCAAATGCAAAAAAAATGGCGAGCATCCACTATCTGTTTATCTTTTTAACCATTCTGCCAACCGTATCCCTGGAGAAAGGCATCTCAGGAACTGTCGCTTGATTCGTTGTGGAGTAGTAGCGCGAGCAGAAGTTTTGATTACAAGATGAACAGAGCGCTATGCAGCTCATGCATTAAAATCCAAATAATACAAATGGTAATAACAAATAATCATTTTTTTCCCGTTCTACCAGTGCTTCACTTGGAAATCTGCAATGGCCCTTGTGCAGTCGAAAGAGTTAAATTTGCAAGTTTGGAAGAATTAGGGAACTCGAAGGCGGTGGAGACCGAGCTTTATTCCAACCTCATTTTTTGACCCTGCATCACGGGGCCGAGGGACCACACCGTGTTATCGGCTTAAAGTGCATTTCAACGACAAAACTCCGAACCTGAGTTTCGAGACCCGGCTGCGATTTGCGGCTGCCGCTTACCTGTCCCTCGCGCGTCGCCGACGTGTCCTCGAGCAGCCTGGTTTCGCTCTTGCCAGCTCGCGCCCTGAAGTCGGCCAGCTGTCGCTTGAGCTTGCGCTTCTTGTTCTCCAGGCTGTTGATCTTGCGCTCGAGCTGCTCGATCACGCCGATTTCTGGCACCTGAGCGGCTCGCCGCAGCATCAGGCCCATCAGGAGCGCCAGCAGGAACAGGACGATCTCGATACTGGACATCATCGCGGTCTCAAGACTAGGGACCGAGGGGTGCTAGTAGTGCCGGGCGAGAGGTTGGACTGTCGTGAGCTGTCGCTGCAGGTCGATCGGGACCACGATCACGGCAGTCACGGCGTTCCCATACGCTAAATATTACGACCGGGAGAAACACGGGATGATAATCGCGCGACGGGCCCGACAGGGATGCCTTGGCCAGGTGAAAGTGAACCGCGCTTCGAACGAACTCCGGCTCTGCTTCTTTTTCGCCTGGCAAGCGAGAGCACGGCACGCTGGCGCTCGGCCGTCGCGCGGATCAGGTTGGAACACGAGCTCGAGCCCCGCGCGTGGTTCGCGCAGGTTTGGAATCGTAGTCGTCGTCGTCTGCATCAGCTGCTGGTGCACTGTGCCGAACCGGCCACATCAAAATATTATGAGGCTGAAAAAAAATTTTACAGGGTGCACTTTCCATCGTGTTCGGGCCGGACTTTCCAATCGCGATCAAGAAACTCGACCCGGGATCGCGCGCGATTAGCATATATAAATCGCAGCGTGGATGATACGCTACACGGTCACTTCTGATATCTATCGGACCTGATCCAGATCGAATCGATTGTTTGGGATTGACTCCTTTGGCTTGTTGGCGATGCGCCACATGCACCGTACGACACCGCAACATGATACCCGCGGCACTCGAACGGCTGAAGCCTGCCTGAAAAAAAAAAAAAAAAAAAGAGTGTGCACTTTCTTGCTTATGGGGTAATGGCACGAGACGGGACAGTTGGGCGAGCTGGTGCACTTAAACGAATAATAGCGCGACCTTCGGCCTTTTGATGTTTGAAGGCTGATTGCTGAGGCACGCGATCGCGCGCCAGTCGAATTTGAAAACGTTGCCTCGGACCTCGCCATTGTGCCCTCGCCCATCGTATGAAAACACGCGTTGATGCATTCCTACAGCTGTACGCAATCTGTGTGCCGGCGTTTCGGGCCTCGCGAGCTCTGCGTCTTTCGTGATTCCGTTTCGGTGCTTGACCGGCTGTTTTCGAAATAGCCTGTTTTCCGTACAAGTTGCCGTCAGACTGCAGTACGAGCAGTGGTCCTAATTTTCCCTTCTGACGTGTCCGTGTTCCGTCTCGGTTGCACGCTCGTGATTCATGTGCACCTGTTCTTGTCAGCCTTTTTAAAAAGTTTTCTTTTCCTGCACGAATGCGCCGCGCGAAATTTTCGTCGCGCTACAGGCATGCGTTTCCGGTAGCGGTTTTCATTTTTGCCCGTCTTTCTTCCGCATTTGTCGCGCAGAACGGCTGCCAGCACGACTCCATTGCACCAATGCGAAAATGTTGAGTCACCTTTCCCGCACAACACGGTTGTCGCTACTGGAGCCGACGAATGCCGGAGGTCGCTGCAGCTGCGTTTGATCGACGGGCCGCTTCGCCTCGAGCGACTTTAGGCTGCACTTGCTTCTTTACTTGTTGTATGTTTAATTTTCGGAATGTTGCATCAAGGGGCTACTAGAAAGTGACATCGTAATGGTGCGACTGAGAAAGCTTGTCATATGTGGCGTGAGGGGCGTACGCGCGGCACTTTTCGATCGGAGACCCGACGGGATCGAATTTTTTCTATCGCGGCCAGCACCCTTTCCTGTCTCGCTGAAATAAACCTATAAGACTAGGAAACTCGATCCCAGTAAGGCTGTTCGATCGCGATTGAAAGTACGGACGTTGTGTGGTAACCGTGTTTATGAACAACTGTGACCACGTCACGCCGACTCCCAATGCGATATATATATATATATATATATATATATATATATATATATATATATATATATATATATATATATATATATATATATATATTGTGAGACTTCATCTTCATCTGTATGACCAAACCATTGTAGTGATCATCATCATATGTCACGCGGGCTGGGTCTCTGGCTCGTGCATCTGGATTAAAAAGATAACCTGGTTACTGCAGTACCGGACGTTATCTCACAATATATATATATATATATATATATATATATATATATATAGTCCGCCCCTATTACAACGTTAAACCCCACATATCAATCAAATCAACGCCCCTATTACAAGCTGGGGTTTTCAGGCACAAAACATATATTTCTGTGTAGCTTGCATCTATTTAATGCATTTCAGTGAAATTGTTTCATGTTAAATTAATCAATCGTAGCATGTATGAATAAGGCGTGATAGCGCAGGTGTATAGTCGGGATTCTCTTTATCATTCCCCTGTGTTCATATTCTGTCCCGTAGTGTATAACAAATTCCTTTGGTCATAGTTAAAGAAAATGATTGTAACATCATTATGTATTCCTATCTTAATGTGTTTTCCCCGGCCCTTTTATATGCCTTATTAACCGTATGAATGTTGTTGTGCTATATAGTTACTGCAAGCTTGCAGGCATTATTCATTTCTAAACTGACAAATCTCATGACCACGAGTTGTAAAGGTTTTTGTGAAAGACTCTTTGTTACTTGAGATAGCGAGTCGCTAAGTATGTATACTTAATGTTTTACGCAGTACTTGCCAATGCTACGTGTTGAATCAGAGGGAAAGCAAAGCACGCATTGAAGTGCTGCCCCATTGGTGAAGTATGGGGGACGAATCGGGGACAAGTGCCGGAGTCCCTACACCACGAACCCATCTCCTGCCTCTTAGGTAAGGCTTCCACATTTACTTCGTCAAACAGAGGTTGCCTGAGAACATTGTGCAGTATCCATGTGCTATCAGAATATGTTTCTAGTTTTACGTGCTATTGCATTTGTGGCTCTAATATGTATATTTGGAATTATGTTATGATTACCAATCGACCACCATGTGGCTGATCGGAGCACCCTCGTGTAACTGTGGGACAAACGTGCTAATAGACTTTCTGTCTGCATTTTAGTTTAATCTGAGTGAACCTCATTTAGCACTGTGATCAAAGAATGCTGTGAAACTAAGGAAGGTCTAATTAAAATTGTTCTAAGATTAACTTGGGATCAGTGTTGCTGGAAATAAAAGCCAGTTTGACCAGCAAGCTTGCACTAATTTGACTAGTGGTTTTGGGAAATGTCTCGCTGTTGCGAAATTGGTATAAACCAGTGCACAGCAAGCAGTCTTCTTGGAGTTTGTTTCTGTTAGTGGCATAAGGTTAACACAGTCGGCTACAGTAAAAATGTTGCAGTGACACGCAGTGCACATCAACAGGCTCGAACATTTGTAGTGCAGACCAGGGCCGGATTTACAGTGCGTAGGGCCCGGTTAAAAAAAAAGGGGGGGTGTGGGGGCCTCCTCCCCTTGCCCCCTTTATTTACCGCTTTGTCATCTGCTCATGCTCGAGACTTGACGCTTCCTAAATTTAGCTGCAAAGAATGCAAGTCATATTTATTCTAGGCCTCTCTGCAGTGTTTAATATCACCTGGTGGTTTTCCATCTCTCGCAGCACGTGGAGAGATTGTCATCGTAACAACTAACTATATCAGGAGACGAAGACACATGAACAGCATTAAGATTTGTCTGGTTCGTTGCATCGTACTGAAAGAAGACTAAACTGTGTGGGAAGTTAAGATGAAAAGAAGGAATGTATGCAACACTTAGAAGTTCAGTCCAAGCACCATGTATGTTTCTTCCATTCGTCATAATAAATGAAAAAAAAAACACATAATGAAATTGCGTAAAAGAAGTTCAAAAGTGGTGGTCGGTTGAAGACCCCCGCCACAACGCCAAGCAATGGCGGTGATGGTCTGCTCGAGGCCAGATAGTTGATATGTGTTGTAGATATTTCCTGTGCAGAACCTTTAACAAGTGATGTTCTTTTGAGTTTTTCTATATAACCACCAAGCAGGAATAGTATTAAGACAGAATGGCAATGGGCAATGGTAGAAGCGAAGAATAAAACCATTACTCCTTCAGAGTCCTTGCTTAACAAGGAAGTTCCATACCTACAGATATTAAATGGCATGTTGTTTACACTATAACGAAAGCATGCTATAGCATACCAGCGTCAGCTCTATACCGGTTATTTTCATGCAGCGCATTAAACGATATTTCAAACAGGAACCACTTTCTATGCGCCTTCGCATTGCGTGTTGTACAGCAGCTGCTATAATCCTCGTCAGGCTCCTGTATGTGTCCATCCATTGGATCAGCTCCTTCCCTCTACACGACGCATGGCCTTGGGCATTTAAGATGTTTTTACCACAGGCTGCACAACTGTGAGCTGACTACGAGATTATGCACGTTAAGCAACGAAAAACCTTTTAGAAGCATGTATATTGATTATTGAAATTGACAATATGTTTCTATCAGCAAAAGCAAGCAAGAGGGTTAAACTTTTTCGAACAAAACAGCAAAGTCTGCCATTTTTTCTGGCCCACCGGGGCCCCCTAAAACCGGAGAGTCCGGTTCATTTGGACCCTTTCAACCCGGGATAATCCGCCCCTGGGGGAGACCAAAAAAGAGACAATTCGCTCTACAAATATAGGCACATTAATACAGCAGGATACCTAGGTAAGGGTATTCTGGTTGCATGGAAAGGCATTTGTACCTATCAGAACAGCACGCTATAGAGAGAGGAACTCATTTGTTAAAAGTCAAATCGCAACTTGAGTGAAGATGCTCCCTGTGCCCAGCAAGGGTTAGGATGACAGTGAAATGCAAGAACTAGGCAAAGGGGTGTGGGCTACTTTACGTTTCAAAACATTGACATTATTATGAGGAATGCTGTATTGAAAATCATCTGGTGTTCTTTGACGTGCACCTAAATCTAAGTGCACAGGCCTCGAGCATGTTGCTTCCATGTAATTGCAGCCAGGATTCGAACCCACAACTATTGGGTCCCCAGTCAAGCATCATAACCCCTAGGTGACCATCACAGGTGGCCATCTAAGAAAGTAAACTGACCAACCTAACGAATGAGGGGATTGGCTGGTAGATGGTGGCATGTTTTCTTGAGAGATGTCTGCCACTGGCAATCTTGGCTCGTCACTGAGTGCCACAGTAGACTAGCTCTCACTTTTCCTGGTTTCTTTTCTAAATCTGCAGGGTTCGGATAGCTTACAGCGTCGGCCATGTGCTCAACGACCTGTGCGCCTCGATGTGGTTCACCTACCTGCTGGTGTACCTCACGTTCGTGCGACAACTGCGTCCAACGCTCGCTGGTGCACTTCTGCTGGTCGGCCAGGTGGCAGATGCAGTGTCTACTCCATTTGTCGGGATCGAGTCCGACAGGGATGACGACTTCTGGCTCTGTCGTTATGGGCGACGGAAAACATGGCATCTCATAGGTTAATTCTCATTTCCTATCATTGTTTCCTTACCATCTCCTCTTTCTTGTTCTTGTTTTTCTTTTTTTTTTTTAGTGTGGTAAAAAATTCTTGAACACAAGGTGTTATGGGAGACAACATTTTGACAAGTGGACGTCTTCTTCAAGATTGCAGTTGCAACCTTGAAGAAAACAAGTTTGCTTGTGGGAAATTTAGCCCCTGTATTTTTTGTTGTTCAGGGATTTTTCATCGCTTCAAGCTTCCACCTTCTGAACTTCTGCCTATTTTTTTCTTGACACTGTAGCTCAACATTTATGTGGGATGCTTTCTCGCCATAAAAATTGTGTTTGATATAGTTAAAGCAACCTATGTGTATTAAGATTGTAGTGAAGAGGAATGAAACAGTGCAGGTGCTGTCGCATACTTTGGGCGAGGCCCTGTCAATCTAACAGCGGCGTGCGGCAGACTCGCAGGCTTCCACTTTACGCTTCGGCCTGCGACGCCCAAAGGGCCTCCAAGTGGTACATTACAATTTTTCTTGTATGCCAGTCGACCTGTGTAGGGTTGCTAGTGTAGTGATGTTTGTGTCTGACTGACAGACTCATAGAGTAGACATGGACATTGAATGAAAAACAAACAAGCATTTAATTAAAACAGGGGCAATGGCAGGAGCTAACAAAAATGAATTAAAAATCAATATCAACTGTTGGAAAAACACAAATGCACACGATGAAAAGAACAGCTACAAAACAAAGTATGCTCGAAAAGAAGACAACAGTTACAAATATACACAACGGGGTAAGTTAATAAAGTAACTGTAAATGATGGAAACTAACAAACACAAAGAAAAAATTATAATAAAAATTGTGCTCCTGCTATGCAGCGCACACTACTGAATGCTTCAAGCTGCTCACAATAAAATAATGGTTGAAAAAAAATAATACTAAACAAAAAGTTCTATACAAACCATGGCAGCTCGTGGTGTACGTAAGGGAGTTGACGGGGTGCCGCTGAAGCTCTTGCCAGCTTCGGTAGACGATAAGGGTGCCTGATGTTGCAGCCGACTCAATTCGTTGTGAGGGACACTCTGTACTTGCTGCCTGCGCGAGACTCGTGGCACCGATGACAGCTCTCTTTGCTGGTTAAACGTCAACTGCTCTCTCTCTTTCTCTTCGGCGCGTATGCGATTTCTCTTCGGCGCGTACGCATGCCCCTTTGAGAGGATTTTTCTGAACACATACGTGCCCCCTTTGCTGCAGGTGTAGGCAAGACCCGGCAGCGCCGTTCGTAAGTATATTGTTGCCGGAAGTTTCTTTCCAATACGAAGGGGCATAAGGGGCAAGATTGCCAGACAATTGTGACAGGTGTAAATTTTGCTCACCACTCAAAATGCTGTGGCCAGTTGCCGGGGCCACTTGTCAAATGCTGTGGCCAGTTGTCTGAGAAGTTTCCCAGAGAATGGTTTAAAATTCTGTAGAGGAGGGAAGTATAGAGAGCCTACACTATGATTTTTTGTGGATTGTTGGACCACTATCTAGCGGGGCTGCATGATGTATTCCACTGTTTAATTTTGTTTTCAAATGTGGTAGCTAGCTGTCCTGTTGGCATCACTTTCGAGCTATTACAGCTTCACAGTATTGGGGGCTGACAGTTTGTAAATTATACCATCTCTTTGTAACGCAGGTACGTTGTGTGTAGTGGGAAGTTTCCCATTCCTGTTCTCCGAGCCCTTGGGCAGGCATCAGAGCAGCCAGGAGGCTGAGTTTGTCTACTATGCGGCCTTCATCATCAGTCTTCCAGTTTGGGTGGGCGTCCACCCAAATTTCCCATCTGTCTCTTATCCCGGACATCACGCCTATCCCTCATGAGAGGGTCGAGCTTAATGCCATGCGGTGAGGGACACACCTACTACCTCCAGTGCAGTGGCACGACTGCTTTACTGTGTAATTAACATTTCCCTATTGTTTTCTGCTGAAGCTATGAAAGACAGAAATAAACAGTTGTGAGAAGGTCTGGTCAGGGTTGCCAGATTCGACTACTTTCAAGAGGACACGACGACAAAACAATGACATTGGCTACTTGGCTACTTTTTGGCTATTGTTCTGGCGCTGGCATCAAGAGCTAATATACACTGAAACCCAGCACAATTACCAAAGACACAGCTGTGAAAAAAAGTATTAAGTGTTCATTTGCGGAATCAAATGCATGTGCCTAAAACAAGTCCCGACCACCTTGGTTTTCACATTATTAATAGAACTTGTATAGGTTCGGCAGCACTGTAATGTAGCTGGCTGCAAACTCATTCAGGCTTTTTAGCCGCTATCTGCCTCACGCGCTAATGTTCTGAGCTGTAGAGGTGGCACCACACTGAGAGATTGTTGCTGAAAAGTAGATGCGTGCTGCTCGTAGAAGCCTGGTGCAAAGCGCACACATCTCGCTGTTTTTGCAGTCATTTTTCATTCTGGTTTAATATTTTCTCTGCTGACGCTGCTGCACTTGTCAGCCATGATGTCTGTGATGTTGACTGTTCTCTTTTATTTGTTTGGAAATGACAGCCCTTTTTTTATCAGTGTGTGCCCGCACGATGCACTGCATGTGTTTCTTACGTGAATGCGTCTAAGCTGTTGTTTGCATGATCTGTTAGCACTGACGCAATAAAAAAAACCTTGGCATGCGAAGAGCAGCCAGTCATGTTTTTCCAGTGACTAGCTGTAGACACGTCATCTGTTAAGGGGGCCGAATACGATGAGTGCTTTGAAAACCTTGCCAAGAGACATATTGGACATATTGGTTACCCCAAGTCCGTACTGAGGATCAAATACGGCGCCTTCATTAAGTTGAGGATGTGAGTGCTGAAATGCGAGCAATGAAACTGTCGATAAAAACACAAACGTAGCGGGTTGCATCAGGGTCTAATCCTATGCAAGACATTGCCAACAGGGCAATGTAACTTCTTGTTAGTGGAGCGAGTGTTTTCTTTGTGCGTAAAGTGAATTTAGGGATTGAAGTTTGTTTTTCGGGCATACTATATCTAATTGTGCTTGCCTGTATGCAAGGAGGTAAATGTTGGAACTAGTATAATGAACCTCAGTATAATAAACCCCTATAAATTCTGTGAGAAGACATGCATGCTTGGTTATGGAGTTGGCTTGCAAGGAGGAGGATAAATGGAAAGACAGAGACGTTAAGCAGTTCTGAGACTGACTGTTTACTCTAAGCTGTGGAAACGTGATAATTGGAATATTAAAGGCAGCAGTAGTAAGCTTTGCACTGTGCTTATTTTATGTATGGGGTGACTTCCAAGACTTCTGTTAAATCCGTGCAGAGTGGCGACTGAAATTTTCGTGTCCTCCAACATAAGGCATATATGTGGTGTGGCAAAACAAAAAACATGGCCACTATAAGTAAAGGTGCCATAATTGAGGTTTTTCTCACATTTTTATGTGTTTTTGTATTGAAGATATTTCTTTCCAATAGTGTGTGGCAGGTTTTGATGCTGTGTATTTGTTGGACTGGGTGGGCTGGAAAAGCAGAAAGGATCACTTCGCTTGCACTGATGGCCATTGGTTCAGTGTTTGTGCCTTCTACATGCCGTGCAGCCATTCTGACGAGGACCTTGGTATGGCAACAAACTGTCAATGTGGTCACTGGCTTCCAGGCTTGAGAAAATTGGTTCTTCACTTTGAATTGTTATTTTGATGCCCTATTATCGGGACTTCTGTTGTCACCATTATGAAAAAAAAAAAACAATACTTCAGTGGCTATTATTCACATAAAGTAGTTGAAGTCCCTTTGTTATATGAAGGTATAACTATATATGTGTGGTTTATTTTTTCTAATTATAAAATAGGTGTGCAAGCCCATCAGTTTTATGTATCAGTTATACCTAAATGCTATGCTCTCCAGCACTATGTTGTGGGTTTAGTTTCCTTAATCTGTTAATAACTCTAATGACTGCAAAATTCAACAACACCCATTTATGTTGAATGGCTGCAGCAATCCAAAATTAGTCCATAGCCCTCTACTGTGGTGGAGCTGTTAGCCCCTTTTTGCTTCATTGGAACAATATGCTTAGTCACTGGATTACATTCACGATGTGGGTTTATGGCATGGTGGTTTTCTGCCATATCAGCTTGTCACTTGTTCCCTTTCACTATATTCTGGCCAACACAATGACTGTTCTGTTTCTTGGTTCGCAGCTATGCTTGTACGGTGGCAAGCAACATAATTGTGTACTTGGTTACCTGGGCTGCATTGGGCGTATCAGGTGCAGATCATGAGGCACAGGTGGGGCCTACCGATGGCTTCGTCTTCAGAAACATCGTCCTCATTGTGGTCAGTGCTGGCTTCTTTATTTTAGATGTATGTGCATTGATTTTGTCTTTTCTTTCCAGTATTATGGTCGCAAGAGCTTGTTGATTTTGGGGAGTTAGTTCATTCTTTGTGCCACTTGAAGCAGCGGGAAAAATATTTGGAAAAAGGCACTGAGGCGACCCACTGCCGACGCCTTTGCCGCCATGTTTAATTAACTGGTGGTTGTTTACATCGTAGAGTTTCCTATGGTTACTATCATGTGGTTTGATAGCTAGAGCAGCCGATGTAGCCAAAGCTGTGAAGCAAAAAGGCGATCTGCTATCGCTGGCGGGAAAACTTGTCTCGGGCTGATTTTTTTTTTTTTTTTTTTTTTTTTTTTTTTTTTTTTTTTTTTTTGCGACAGCCTCGTGCCATGTTTTTCTGGCCACTAAAGCGAGGTGAAAATTGGTAAGTTTTGCCACAATCACTTCCTTCGAGGCCAAGAGAGAACGGACCTCCCTCCCACAGAGAAGCCGCATTGGGCCGCTGGCGTGCAGTGGTCCATCGCACAGCTGTATCATCCGCGGTCGCTGGGGAAACTGTTCACATAACACCGAATTCCGGCGTATTTCGTATAATGTAGTTCATCTAAAACAACCTTAAAATTCTTATTATTGTGCAATTCGCATAAACCGTAATCGTATCATCGAGATTCTATTGTAGCTGAGTTCCACAATTCTTTCTTTTTTTTCTCATACAAGACATTGCTGGTATGAACCTATTAAACATAGTATCCCAATGAATAAAGCGGAGAATCTACAGTCTTGTTGTTGACATGGCAATATTAGAAAGTATGAACGACGTGGTGTGTCAGTATTTAACTGCATACTTAGTCAAAACAAAACGATAGTAGCAGATCTGCTAGATTGAATAAAGAGATATAGTAGTTGGAATTGCAACCGAGGCTTGTCCTGGGGCGCAATTCTCGATGGGTCCACCAAGTAGACTGTCCACTTTGGCAGAGCACATTGAATTATTCGAAAAAATAGCAAGTCGTGACGTCATGTCGCTTTGACTACATCGACCCACCGCCAGTACATTCCCAACTTAAAGAAAAATAAAGTGGATGAAATGTGCAGTAAACAGGATACTTAAACTTGACAAGCCTGATTTTGCATATAAACGTGTTCAGATGCTTCAAAACGATGCAGAGAATGCGTACATACCTTCCAGGTGTGTCAGACAGGCCGCGTTAAACCTAATTCAAGGGCTTATGATGATTAGAGATATTCACGACCTCCAACATGTGCATCGAAAAACAGGTCTCTGGGGGAAGCATTTGTTGCGGTAAAAAGCATCCCATCTTTCCCATTTGTGTCTAAAGTTGTGAAAGCTTTGTGACGTCAAAGTTACGTTGCACAAGAAAAACCGGAATGCTGCTCACTGAGCTCCAGCCAATCATTGGAAGCTGAAGTGAACAGTTCACTTTGTTGATCCAGCAAGGATCAAGCTGCTGCTTAGGCTCTCAGCTGGGCAATCTTCGTGGAAGCTATTTTCGCAGCACGGATATTTGTGGCCACACTGTTTATGACACTCTAAAATTTTAAAACATATTTTGTGCGAGTGCAGGTTGCCATTGGGGCCTTCTTCTCCTTCATCTTTCACTTGGTCGTGCGCGATCCGTCACGAGGTGGGCGTCGGGAAAGTCGCTCTCGTCATACGGACGAGTACATCCGGTCATTGGTGCTTGACCGTTCCCACCACTTTGTGTGGAAGGACTGGTTCAGGGAGAAAGGCTTCTACCTGGTACGTGCAAGTTTGGCATAAGCCACATTTATTGTTAGTATGCCCGTAAAGGAGCCTTTTTGTGTGGGCCCATAAAGGAGACTTTTTGTGTGGGCTAAAGCCTACTGTGATGCAGTGAAGCATAGGTACCACCTAAAATTTAATGGGCTAATTTTAAGAACCTCATAAATTGTTTCTCAGATCACCACTGCTGGAAACATGTATTTTGGTTTGGCCTGTAGTGGCAACAGCTTAATTTTTTCGAAAACTAGTTGTATTTTTCTGATGTTTGTTTTGGCAAGTACTTTAAGGTCAGATATTGGAATGCTGTGCAAGAACCAGACATCAGGTGGTGCCCCTAGCCTTTGAACACAAACCATATTTTCTTGCCTATAACCTGCACCAACAAGCAGAAAAATATGCCTAAAGAGTGGGAGTGTGAGTTGTATGCACAAGTTGTCTGCATATTTTTTCTTTTGTTTTGTAGACTTAGAAACACAGTTTATCTGTGGGCATGTGCGAATAGTAATGTTTTGGTTTAAAGCGAATTGTGGCAAATGGTGATTTGGTCAAATAATTTCGAAATGAATTTGAATAGTACTATATATCACAAATTAGAAAGGAATGTTGTGAGGAACCTGTTTGTTCAGCCAGGCTCGAGCTAAATCACACTGGTGATGATATTTACAGATGATGAAGATGTACAGGTGATGATGATATCTAAAGAGAAGGAAGAGTCATTCGCTTGTCGCGCTCACACTAATTTCCCCGCGCGGTGAAAGCGGCCGCCTGGTCGCTTGACAGTATTATGAAATGCTTCACGCGTAAGGCTTTAAACAAGATACGTGCACTGTCTCTGTTCCTCGGCAACGATGATCAGGATTAGGGCTAAGAAGAGAAACGCGGTAATTGACAGATGTCTGTTCGACCACCGTATGCGGCCCAATGAAGCGACTGATGAATTTGTCGCATAAGCCGGGGACGCGTAATGGAGTCCATAGAAAAACTTCGTCACCAGGGGAAAAACTCGCAACATGGCGAGACGAGTCGTAGCGAGATTTTCAAGTGTCTTGAGAGAGGCCGGTGTTAACATGGGCCTGGTGACGGCAGTGTGCGAGACGAGATAAAAATTTTTCAGAGAAAGGAGCCGTCGAGGGTGCAGGGGCCGAAAGGAAAAAGACATCCAGAGCGAAACTGAGCGAGCGACCATGGACGAGAAAAAAAATGGAGAAAAGCCGGTAGTGCATTGAGCAGCCGTATTATAGGCAAATGTCACGAAGGGTAGAATTACATCCCAGTTCGTGTGGTTGGGGTGAATGTACATGGCGATCATGTCCGATAGGGTCCGATGAAACCGTTCAGTCAATCCGTTGGTCTGCGGGTGGTAGCTAGAAGTGGTCTTGTGAACAGTGTTGGAGGCACGCAAAACTTGCTCGACAATGGAAGAGAGAAAGACTTTGCCAGGATCACTTAGGAGAATGCGTGGAGCTCCTGCGCAAAAAGATGTGGCGAAGAAAGAAATCGGCGACCTCAGTGGCAGTCCCAGATAGTATAAAAGCTGTTTCTGCGTAGCGGGTAAGGTGGTCAACGGCCGTGACAATCCAGCGATTCCTATTGAATGATATAGGAAGAGGGCCATACAAGTCGATTCCAACGACTTCAAAAGGCGAGGGGGACAAGGAAGAGATTGCATTAAGCCAGTCGGAGCAGTTGTCGGTCGTTTTCGTTGTTGGCAATGGACAGATGAGGCAACGTACTTAGTGACGGCTGAAGAGAGGCCAGGCCAAAAACAACGACTTCATATTTTGTCATAAGTCTTGTGATAGCCTAGATGAACGGCAGTTGGATCATCATAAAAGGCTTCCAGAACTTCACGTTGCAGAGAACGTGGGATGACGGGTACCCACTTGTTGCCATCGATATGGTAAATATAGCGGTATAAAGCACCACCGACAAACTTAAATTGTTTAAGTTGTCGACGAAGTCTGGCGTTTGGAGGAGTAGTAGAGCCGGTCAAGCGGTCAACAGTGGTGCGGCAGTATGGGTCGACACGTTGTGAAACAAGGACGGATAGGGTGGCAGGTGATGAACTTAGCGCTACAATTAGAGAGCTGCTCTCGTTTTGGAGTATTGATGGTGAGTGGTTTCCGCTGGCCAAAGGACAGCGCGATAGAGCATCAGCATCTTGATGCTTCTTTCCAGATTTGTAGGCGACATCGAAATCATACTACTGCAAGCGAAGGGACCAGCGACCGAGGCGATCCAATAAGTTTTTCAGCGATGAAAGCCAGCATAGGGCGTTATGGTCTGTAACGACGGTAAAATGACGGCCGTGAAGATATGGTCAGAATCTTTGCACTGCCCAAACAACAGCAAGGCACTCTTGCTTGGTGATAGTGTAGATTTTTCCTGGAGCGGTAAGAGCGCGACTTGCGTAAGCAACGACACGTTCGCGTGAGTTTTTGTCACGCTGCAAGAGTACCGCACCTAGACCATGACTACTTGCGTCGGTGTGAAGGATGGTGGGTGCGGTGGAATTGAAGTGGCAGAGTACCGGATCCAACGTGAGGGCTTGCTTCAGTGCTGTGAAAGTGCTTTCGCAGTCTTCGGACCAAATGAAGGGGATGTTGCGTGCGAGGAGTTGATGGAGCGGAGACGCAAGTTCCGCGAAGCCACGTATGAAGCGCCGGAAGTAAGAAGATAACCCACGAAAGCTGCGCAGGTCCTTTTGACGTAGTGGACGAGGAAAAACGAGGATGGCGGCAAGCTTCTCGAGGTCCGGCCGAATTCCTTCTTTGCTGACGAGGTGGCCAAGAACCTTGATTGTCTTGCTAGCAAAGGTACATTTCTTGGTGTTAAGCTGTAGATTGGCTTTTGCAAGGCATGTGAGGACTTCGTCAAGACGTTGTAATGCTGCAAGAACGTGGATGAAAACACTACTATGTCATCGAGATAGCACAGACACATTTTCCATTTCAAACCAAGCAGTACGCCGTCTATCATGCGTTCGAAGGTGGTGGGCGCATTACAGAGTCCAAAAGGCACCACATTAAACTCGTACAACCCATCTGGCATTGAAAAGGCGATCTTCTCTTTATCAGACTCCGACATTGGTATCTGCCAGTAGCCTGACCTAAGGTCGAGGCTAGAAAAATACTCTGCGCCCTGTGATCGAATCCTGTGCATCGTCGATCTGAGGGAGAGGATAAACATCCTTGCGCGTTATTTTGTTTAGCACTCGGTAATCGACGCAGAAACGCAATGTCCGATCTTTCTTTTGAACGAGAACAACTGGGGATGACCAGGGACTCGAGGAAGGATGTATGATGTTGCGTCGTAGCATGTCTGAGACGTTTTCCTCGATAATCTTGCGTTCTGCCTGAGACACGCGATATGGACGCCGATGTACAATATGAGAGCCGTCAGTCTGGATGCTGTGAGTAGCGGTGGTAGTCATGCTGAGGGCGAGCGAGTTCACGTCAAATAGAGAACGGTGTCTATTCAACAGGGCGAGCAAATCTTCAGTTTGATCAGGTGTTAAGTCAGTGCTTATGGTTGCCGACACAGGTGTGGAAGAGGCATTGAATGGCAGTGATTGTGACTTTGGGACATCGTTGTGGTTGTTGTTCGAAAGAGTAACAATCGCAACAGGCTCACTGTCGGCCGCGCAAAATACTGTTGAGCCACAGGGGAGCACTACACACTCGAGTGTTTGATTTATGGCGGTTAGGTAGGTAGACCCATCGAAGAAGCGAATAAGCCCTGGTGTGATCACAATGCCGCTATGTAGGGTATGGCCGTAAGGGAGCATTAGTACGTCACGATCCACAATGTCGGTGCAATTAACACTTATAATTTCTTCGATGTATGGCCGAAGTACATAATCTGACGTGGTGACAAGGCGGATGCATCTATCGTGTTCAAGCGAAGAAGAGTCAGTGGCATTTAGATGCAGGAGGCGCTGATGACAAGATATGAAAGCGCACGCAGAAGCCAAGAAATCTTACCCCAGAATGAGAGCAAGGGTGCACTCACGAAATATCGCAAAAACGATGTGATGACGAATGCCTTCGATGCAGACATGAACAGTACACTGTGCAAGTGGACGAATGAGAGGGTTGGTCGCCGCACGGAGAGGAGGGCCGCCATAAGGCGTGGTTTTCGAAGGCGGGAACAAAAATTGGCACGAATAATCGAAATGGCAGCGCCAGTGTCTACAAGGGCCTCAACGCGTACACCTTCTACAAACACTACTATCAAATTCGATGACCGCTTTGGAGGAATTGTTAGCTGCCCGGTGGATGCAGTTTCCCCTCCTAAAACTGCATTGAGGAGTTTTCCGCGTGGGCATTCGTGGAATCGGAGGCGGGCCGCAGAGGCAACACTGAACGGCGACCTGGTGAAGGCGACCTGTGGCGAGACGTACGGAAATTCCCAGGCATGTCAGTATGGTAGGTAGGAGACAGTGAACGGTAATAGAGTGATCGGGAGGGTTGTCGTAGGTAGTTAATGGTCGGACAGAAGCTTCGATGTTCTTCAGGAGCGTAGCCACGTTGCTCGTCTTGTTGGCGCCTTCGACAAAACCGAGCGATATGTCCTCGATAGCCGCAGTAGTAACATATTGGTCGAAGTGGGCGCTGAGGTGCGTAGTAAGGCGGTGCACGCACTGGCGGTGACAACGAAGCCACAGGCGTATGGTCTGGTGGTGTAGGCACAGAAACGGTGGGTGCGGCAGAGAGCGTGGCAACTTTGGCGTACGTGCGTGTCTGGCGCACGCAGGGACCGTTGGAACACGTCGGACGCAATCTCTTGTTTAATCAAGTCTCGCAAGCTATCTTTTTCAAAAGGGAGAGTAACTTCCGCAGTGCAGGAAAAGCAGGGCCCGTGAAGCTCTTCACGAACGATGTCGCGAATAAGCGCACGCAAGTGGAGGGCTGCAGGCAAACGAATGTCGGTGGCATCGTAGCAGAGCCGAAGAGACTGAAGCTCGTCAAGTCGCTGACAGATGGTTATCACGTCCTGGGTGGTGGCAGGATTTTGGGTGGCGAGGGCGTTAAAGGCGACGGTGCTAAGGCATTTAATAATTAAATGTAGCGTATTTGGTCGTTCTGAGACATGCCGGTGTTAACGCGCTTGCATAGGGCAAGGACATCCTCAATATAACAGGTGTAAGGTTCACTTGGCAGCTGCGTGCGTTCAGCGAGCTTCTTCTTTGCTGCCTCAGTGGGAACTGTAGGGGCACCAAATATTTGACGAATTCGCTGCTCGAAAGTGTCCCAGTCGGGAAGATCCGGGTGGTGGTTCCAGAACCAAGTTTTCGCAACATCGGACAAGTAAAATGGGATGCTGCGCAACTTCTGTGGATTGTCCCACCTGTTCAAATTGCTGACGAGGTCGTAGTTCTTGATCCAGTCTTCGACATCATTGTCTCGGTGACCGGAAAACACAGGTGGATCATGCAAGCGAATGTTGTTGGGCGGAGCAAGTGGCGGTGGCTGAAGTAGGACGGCGACGTTGGGTGGGCCAGGGTTTTCTTGGGCCGCCATGGCTGGGGGTTGTATGCGACGACCCGAGCAGAGCTCCAGCGAGAACGGGCGAGAGGACTTGAGGGAACGAAAAGCACCGTCCACCACTTGTGAGGAACTGGTGTATTCAGCCAGGCTCGAGCTAAATCACACCGGTGATGATATTTACAGATGATGAAGATGTACAGGTGATGATGATATCTAAAGAGAAGGACGAGTAATTCGCTTGTCGTGCTCACAATATGAGCATATTCATCATGACTCAATTAACTACACAATATTTAAAATTGAAACAAGGCATACACAATGCAGTGCTGATTTTCTTTGAATAGGGGTATTCTAGGTATAGTGCCCCTTCACCGTATGTAAAACCGCTTCTACAAGGCGTTAAATGTGGTTTATGCATCTATTTGTTCATTTCGAATACTGTAAAATTTACAGTAATTAGAATTCATGTTGAAGTAAATTTGAATAGTATAATATAATTTGAACATTCAAAGAGCTTGAATATGTGCACGTGCTTAGTTATATGTGAAAAAATACATGTAGAGTATATTAGAGGCATGTCTTGTGTAGTGTATACTGAAACAGGACTTTAGTGTACACTCAAACCTCATTATAGCAAAGTTGCATCTCTTTTGAAAATGAGTTTGTTATATATCTCTAAATTTGTTATAAAGGTGTATTCCTATTACAATATCTATTGCATGACTATTTTTAATTTACTTTGTTATAACCGATATTTAGTTATATCTGAGTTCGTTATATTGAGGTGTGAGTGTATTGAAAATTGTGACTGATCATTTGCATGCTGTCTTTTAAAAATTGATAAGCCAGATATTCAGGATGTTTGTAATATTGCAGTTTAATATACATATCAATTACCTAGTTTTTCACCTTGGCATTTCATGTTTGAAACTGGACAGATCGGACTAGTAAGGGTACAGTAAACTCTAGGTAAGCGGAAACCTCTTGAGTGGTACTACTAAAATGGAATAACTGCCTCTAACATGATCAATTGAGCACTTAAATTGCTCGCACCTATTCATCTCTCAGTAAACAGCACCCCTGTTATATGAATTATGTTTTCCTGGTCCCTTCAGGTTACATTTTACGAAAGTCGACTGTACTTTGAAAAATATCACTGTAACGATAACAAGAAAGATAAGACAGACTTAAGGTTGTAGATTAGACTAAAGGCTATGAGTTTTATCGCAGGAAAATGTCATCAAGTGAGAAATGTGAGTGTATATTTAGGGGCTGGGGTTTGGCTGATGCACTGATGTCGTTCCAGGTGGCCCTTCTATACATGTTCACTCGCCTGTACGTCAACCTAAACCAGGTTTACATCTCCATCTACATTCAGGACACGCTTTTGCTACGAAGGGTAAGTGTAACTGGTGCATGATCACATTCAGTGTGAGACCATGGGCAGTAGGGCTCGAAGACTGCATGGCCCCACCAGTGTGGAAAAAAAGAGGGCTGATCCCTCCAGGAATTGGTATATAACATGAAAGGGAAAAAATTCGCGGCATATCTGCGTGCTTCGCTGGCAAGATCGTCGAAATATGATAGTCTTATGTCTAGAGAGAGAGAGAATCGAACATTTATTTCACGTTATGCACGTGAAGATCGGCGAGTAGGCGCTGCGTGAGATGTGGACGCCATCAAGCAGTAATTTCAAGAAAGAGAGTTTTTCTAGAATGCAAAGACACTGGTAGGCGGCAGCAACATGTAGTTTTAGTGAAGCGTAGAAAACACCCGCATTTTCGTTCATAGCGTTGCACTGTCAGCACAGCGTAATAAGCACTGCAGTTTTTATAATTCAGTATGTACACTAAGCCGTCATTACAACAAAGTCACTTTATTCAAATCATCACTTTTTTCGAAGTTTCACACAGTCCCGACCCCAATACATGTATTTTAGACCAGATTACTTGAAGCGTGTCAATAGCTTGCTCTGCATAGAGCGAAATAACAAGTCTTGGATTGGGCCCACGCTGCTGAAGTGCTGCACGCTTTTTTCATCCATGGGCTGGGCTGAGTGGCCTTTTTTGTGCTGAGCAAGCCGCTAACGTAACCAGGCGAAAGCGCCCCAGTGCAGACTGGTGCAGACGGCGTGAGAGTTTCCGCGCCACGCGTTTTATCCTCTCTCTCCATGCCCTACTTAGGTACAAGGGCTACCGTTGGAGGCGCTCGCTAACATGTCGGCTGTAGAGTGCCTCGATGCGCGCGGAGGCAAACCACTACCACTATGTTACTGGCTATGCCGGTGGTGTCACATGACAAGTACAGTGCCTTGGCGTGCTCCCTGGCCGTCGGACTTTTTTTCATTTTGCATTTGGAAGACGCACGTTCAAGTGTATTGTGCGAGGTCTGTGTGAACCCTTGATGTTGTGTGTGCGCATCATGCGCGTTTAGTGACCGTCGAGAGAAAGTGGCACCACTGGTGCTCACACGGAAGTGTTTGACACTGGAGCAGGAACTTGAACTGATACGGGAGGTGGAAAAAGGCTGGCAGAAGTCTGAAATTGCAAGACAATTCTCAATACTATTGTCAACATTATCAACTGTTCTGAAGAATAATAATGCCATACTGGGCGGCTTCGAGAACATTTTCCCAGCCAAATGAAAGTGCCACCATGATTCTATGTATCATGAAGTAGAAAGAGCGCTTCTCAAATGGATGAAAAACGCTAGAAGTGCAAACATTCCTATAAATGGGCCTGCATTGACCGCAAAAGCCGAAGCACTAGCCGCCCAAGTGGGCAAGCAAGATTTTAAGTGCAGTAACGGCCGGCTTGAACGCTTCAATACACAGCACAGGGTGTCTTCAAAATTCGACTGTTGTTGACAGTGCAGCCGTCGACTGCTACGTCGTGGACAGATGGCGTAATCGGCTGAGCGCCCTACTTCAGCAGTACGAAGATAGAGACACTTGAGCTTGGACGAGGCTGCATTCCTTTACAAACTGTTGCCGAAGTGCACGTAAACTACACCGGGCGGAACCTCACCAGGATGTAAACAAAGAACATGTTACAGTGCTGTTCACTATATACACCAAACAGCACGATAACACACTGTAATATGCACATGGTGTGCTGCCTATAAAGGCGCCACTGATAGCCATCTAGTAGATGTCAGTGACGTTACGTGCAGGAAGCCGAGCAGACAACTCTTTGCATGGCTTTGCTGAGAGAGGATGGGTGAAGCTTGTTGCTACGGTTTCCTCTTTGTTCAAGTACCAGACAACTAATCTTTAGATAGCAGCTGCAAGAAAAGTGCAAACCTCTATGAAAGTGGACTTGTGCATGCTATTTCTCACAAATGAGCTCTTTACCAAGTGCACCTCACTGATTTGAAATGACGGCATGAAAACCCGACGCCGACGGTTTGCACAGAAGAAAAAACAAGTATAAAAGTGTAAAAGGCCCAGTTGTGAAGTACAGCTCATGGAGGACATCCGCTTTATCTTGTTTACCAATGTGATGTCCCGATAACTCCTTGTTCTTCCTGAAGTCAACCATTGCTGCATTGTTGTTCTGTAAATAAAAAATACTGAACGTCCAAGTGAAGTGCCCATGCATGGCGGTAGAACCGAACCTACACACGCTCATGTTGTGATATCTTCTGCCTCCTACCAGTGTCAACACGATTGACTGCAACGAATGAGCATGGATATGGCAGAATAAAAGCACGAGAACAACAAGCGACTCATTAGCTAACACAATGACAGAGTGGCTCATCTTTCCCAATGAATGGTAGCGATCCATTGCTTCCATGGCTCTTGCTCATGAGGCCGTGTGGTAAATTAGTGGAACCGTGTTGCAGGCGAGTTAATATAAGTGTTGGAACACCACCCCTACAACGAACGTTTCACTACGGTCCACATTTCACTACAAAAACGTGGGCAGCTTGAAAGCACATGTACGATGGTGTTGTAACTACGGCGGCTTTCTGCTTACCTTCCTGAGAGTAATGAGCAAGTTCGCCACTTATGGCACTGACATTAGCGCATCATGTTTAGACTAAGCTCGTGCGAATAGTAGATGTTAGGTCCAAAGTTAAGTTGAAGCAAACGGTGATACGGTTTAAATAATTTTGAACCAAATTCAAATAGTATATATCACATATTATGAAGCAAAATGGGCATACTTTTCACAATGCAACTAACCTGCACCATATTTTCTAAAATTGAATCAAGGCGTGCCTAATAATCATTGTTTCTTTAAATATTTGTGGCGCAACTGAGACAAGCAAGGAAAAAAAAAAGGAGGAAACAGGATAGGGCACCCTATCCTGTCTGCACAAACTCGCCCAAAGTCACACTCTGCTCAACGTTGTTCTTTTTAATTTAAAGGAAGCAACTTTGAATAGCAAGTAATAACCTGTAAAATATGTTACATTTTAAAATTTACTTTACTTAGAGCATATAAGCCGGCACTAAAGCTTTTTAACTTAGAAAAAGGAAGAATTGGTGTGAGGGTAATATGTTTATTTAACCTTAAAGGGGGGCTTTTTGGCAATGTTTTTTTTTGAAAGGTGTATTCAAGGCATAGTATCACTACACTGCAGTGAAATGTTCTTGACAGGGGTTTACACGCGGTGTAATCTACATCTATTTGTTCATTCTGAATACTTCGAAATTTCCGATAATATAAAATTCAGATTGAAGTGACCTTAGTGCTCGAATATTTGCACAAGCCTAGTGTGAAGTCAGCTTAGGGTGAACTTCCTTTTTGTCTGCCGATAAGTAGAGAACTCTCTGGAAAAATTGTGAAGTTCACGTGAATGCTGCCATGTTCCACGATGCCACCAAAGCTAAATGAGCACTGTTCTTGCCAGTTCTTTTTCTTGCTATTTTGTCCTCATAGCAGCCTGCTTATTCAGCGGTAACAGCCAGTGTGAACAGAAAAAAATAGAAGGTCTCTTAGAAAGGGAGAAAGAAAGAGGAGCAATGAAGAGGCTACTGTGAATATCTTGGTGTAACTTGTTGCTAAGATACTATTAGACACACCAAATACATTGCAAGGTACCCAAATTACTGTTTCCATCTCCTGACTTGCTCATTTGCTCTGTATTTTACAACCCTATCCTATTGTGACCTTTCCAATATGTGTCTAAATGAAGCAGATGCAATGTTCAGTATTGTTAAAGAAGTTGCTTTTGTGCTACATCTATGTTTTTCTTACTCTCTCTCACCTTTATTTTCTTTGTTCAAGTTTCTGTGCAAATGTAAGTTATGCCAGATTAGTTATGTTAAACCTTAATACTTGGCTCTCCTTCATTCCTGTAGTGATAATACACACTTATATTTCCAGGAAAGCATAGCAATCATTCCTCTTGTCATGTATGTGAGTGGCCTCATCGCATCGCTACCCATTAAGCTTGCAGCGAAACACATTGGAACAAAGGTAAGCAGTCGTTTCGTAGTTTAACCATTTAGCATTTGTTTTAGTTGTTGATACTTTCCTTGCCGGCAGCAGTGTTGAAAGTCTGAGAAATAGCTTGAAAATTAGCAGAGAGCAATAGTTTGTCGACCTTCCATGGTGATCTAGCGACTGTGGTGCTCAACTGCTCAGCCGAGAGTAACTGGACTGAATCTCGGCTGCTGAGGCCACATTTGGACAGAGGTCTTATGCTAGAGGCCTGTGTACTTAGTCTTGGGTACACGTCAAACAACACTAGATGGCAAAAATTTCCGGAGTCCTGTGCTACAGAATTCCTCATGAAAATATGGTAGATTTGGTAGATTTGGAACATTAGACCCCAAGAAATATTATTATTAATTATTAACAGTTTGTGGATTTTGAGAAAGCCGCATTTTTCTTTAAAAAATTATGCTTACATTACTTCATTGTACTTTTGAGTTCACTCCAGGAAAATCAGAAAATACTTCACTGTCTGGCCTTTCTGTCAAGTTTTTTATTTTTGGTGGCTGTTGAGGTTTTTGAAATTTCAGCTGGCTGTTGGTTCTGCCATCTGTTTTGTTGCTGTAATGAAGCACTGTAAGCTGTGCAAATGTAATGAAAACTTTGCTTGCTTTATTTTGTTCCTGCATTGAACGTTTATCAGGCCTGACCAAGGGTGCTGCTAAATGGGGCTGTACTGTTATCTCTGTTTCACTCAAACCTCAATATAACAATGTTGCATCTGACACAAAAATAAGTTCATTATGTTCAAACACTGCATCTATTACAAGACTATTTCGATATCTCATTATATCTGGATATCAGTGAATATCTAGTTGTACAACCATGCCACACCTGATCCACTGATGAGTTTAGGCGCAAGATTTACAATTGAGTCTAACTACTAGCATCTTTCATATCAGTGATGTAGCAAAAACAAGTTGATCATTTCTCTTTTTAGACAAGTAATAAACGGTAGTCTGAATGTACAGCCTTAGTAACAAAATCAGGAAGCTAAGAAGTTGAAAGCTAACTATGCTAATGAAATCACGTGAAATTGTGTACATAACTATGGCCCTCGTGGCAGTGCCCTGCAAATGAAGAAAAGATGACTGGCTGGCAGTAAGCAACAGCTGACATTTGAGAGAGCCATTTATGTGGGATGTCCTACGGGTTTCTAATACAGCAGTACAGACATTGTTGATCACGTCGGCCAACTTTAATGGTTGATGCATCTAACGATGTAGTGGTTTAGTGGCTTTAATGGCACTTGTAGCTATAGTGGTGTCTACTCAACATTCGTAGTCCCCATTGACTGTCATAGTTTTGACAGAAAGGGCTGGTTACAAGCTTGTTGTCTGGAAAAAGAAAACTTTGTAATTTTTTTACCCAACACACGAATTATTTCTCCCTCGCAGAATGTGCACCTCCTCGGCGGTGCACTGGGAATCGGTGGCTCCCTGTGGATTCTTTTTGGTCAGATGACTCCCATGTACAAAGATTATCAAATATACGGTGTCGCCGCTGTTGTGGGGGCTGCGAGCACGACCATGCTGCTTGCCAGTCTTGCCATCACAAATGAACTCATTGGTGGCCACACGGTGAGTGCTGCCCTTGATTGCCTGTTTTGCATTGCATGGCAGAGAGCAAACACCTACTAGACATTTTTCATAGTTTTAAAGCTAGCTCAATCAATGGCAGCTATAGTCAGTTGCAACCTAAGAATAAAAGTCAAATTGGAAATAAAAGCGCCGCCCCTAAAACTGCAGCTCACCAGCCATTCATCTGTACAAGAGAGCCGTGCTACATGGTTTTTGTTGCAACTATAAGTATTTGTTCGCTGCTAACACAAATGAAAGGTGCAATAATAAATAAAAGTTCAACGTCCCTGCTTGAAACATTACAACATTTGAAGGAGAGTGATTTGGAAATCTTTGTAGAAATTGCACAAGAAGCCAATGTGTTTTGACCGAAAATCAGAGGCACCGTGTATTTTTATTAGGAAAGCACTTATCTAAACTGCGTGAATGGTTCTTCGTGTCACAGATATGGAGAAATAGGATTTGATGCGAATTTCCTTGGGGTGGGAGAGGCACTTTTGCAGGTGGAGCTTACATTTATTCTTGCATTCTAAACGACTGTAGTCACCTCTGAAAAGAGTGTGCTAAGAGCAGTTTACTTCACTATGTCACGGAAAATGGGGGCTCAGGTCTCATAATAGAGACACTAATTATAAACGAGCCCCAGCACGCACAGCTAAGACTTCATCTTCACTCGTAGGATGGCAGGGACAGCCATTAATTGGGCAAATATGCAGTGCAGGGAAGTGTGCTTGTGGCTTGTGAAAAGCGTCTATTGCGTAATCTTAGTTTACTTGTTTCATAGTTTTAAGCTACGCCGATGCCTAGTGAAGTCGGGTAAAATTAATGTAATGGTGCTTCTTTTTGTCTCTGTTTAAGAAGCTTCTTGCGCTAAAAAAAAAAAGTAATTCAATGATGTCCTTTGTAGGTTCTGGTGTGATGTGGTCTTCTCTGGTCGTTGGGCATAGCTTTGGCAGTAGTACAGTGGAATACAGACATATGAAACCTGGCTATACTGAAATATTTTTTATAGTGAACAGTTCTTGAATCTCCTTGTAAATTGTCACTTCACACAGCTTTATACTGACAATAGGAGACAAACCCAAATGTGAAGCTTGTCAAGATGAGATAACAATAAGCCACATCTTAATTTGCTCAGAATTGAAACACCGAAAAAAATCTTTTTTCTGAACTTTAAGATGAGCATATTTCTATTCGCTTAGAATTTATTATAGGTGGAGAACTTTTGCATACATATATGTTTTCAAGCTTTTTAAGGGCAGCAGGATTTTTACAGAAACTTTGAAGTCTCATTTTTTAGTTGGCTAGCTAAACATTGTTACTTACTTCATCCACTTTCTCATCTTTGAAAATTGGGACGAGATTTTTGTTCAATCAGTAGACACCACCTGCTCGGGCAAGGAGTCATCGATGTGGCTCATTTTTTTATCGCACAGTTTATACCTCGTGTTTAGAACATGATAGACCTAGTTTCTTATGTGCCAATAAACCAAACAAACTATCCAACCAACCTTGTAAATCTCATGCAAATACTGTGTATATGTCTATGAGTTGCAAGTAATATGTGTGTGTGTGCATGTACAATGGGTGTATCAAACTACTGTTCACTTCCACATTCAATATGCAGAATGCCGCATGCTGCCCTTGTGAGAACTTTTATTAGAATGAGATCACCTCTCGCATTACATGAAATGGCACTGCTTGACACAGCACGCAAAATTAGAAGGGTTGTGTAGGCCATGTAGGAAAATTGTCTGTGTGTGTGTGCCTTTGTTTGTGCCTGTGTGTGTCAAAAATACAAGTACCTTGCACATCGGGGATTTTATTTGCTCTCTATAATAATGGAATCATTTTAATAAGCGTCACTGTCTTGCAGGTGTGTGATGTACTGAAGCAATAGGGCAGAGTCAATTGACCTGTTTGCAGTGAATCACGCTGCCTCCAGCCATTGATTTGTGAATAGAGGTCTGTTGCACTGCTTCAAGACTACTAAAGGATGCCTGGCTTGACGTGCATCCCTCAAGAAAGTGTGCTGATGAAGGACATCATTAACTTTTGTGTTTCAATACAGCTCTTTAGTGACAAATTAGCGCAATAGTTTTTTGCAATCTCAAGATATTGTCAGAGACATGCAGAGCTCTCAGGTAACCTTAAGGTGAAAATGTTTTTCTATTTTTTTAATTATCTTTATAACAAAGCTTTTTTGTGGTTCGCATCAAGCTTGCTTCTCTAGACATGCCATCAAATATGGATGGCAGTGTCACCTTGGGGTTCCTATAACAGTTCACCGTGACATAATTAACTCTGACAGAATTTGCTTGGGTACGGTTCACCCGTTTTTTTCTCTCCTTTATTTTTAAGAAAGACAGAACACCTAGTACTCTAAGTGATCTATAAACTGAGCGTAGCAAGTTGCAAAAGCGTCCACTGTGCCACAGCATCCCAAATACAAGGAAATACTCTGAAGTTTCTGCCGTCCCACTGATATAGCAGTGCAGGGGTTGTAGCCCAAAACTAAAAGAAATTTGAATTTTATTTTTAGTCCTATTAAAGTGAGTAAACTGTTTTTACAATGCTAGCAAAAATAGAATAAAAATAGAGTTTTGGCACAGTTACTCGTCTGTCTTTTCTGAGGTTCTTTTATTTTCGTAATGGGCTACATGTAAACTGAACTTGTGGACAGTTTCTGGTTAGAAAAAATGACATCAATGACAAGTGTGCTCCTCATATTTTGTATATTCTTACGGGAATTCAGAAGTGTATTTCAAGGAAATAAATGCTGAAATGCTGTGAAATATGTCGCACATCACCCACGAAATCCGAACTAAGGCACGAATTATTTGCCATGGGATAATGCTTAAGCGCACAGGGTGCGAAACTGCTGGGTGTGAGTCGAGTACGCACGTGCCATCCATGTTAATATTTTAAGGTTGCTATAAATGGCAAGGTCTTACTTTGTTGCCTTTTTTTGTTTTGCAGACAAGTGGTGCATTTGTCTTTGGAGCAATGAGCTTTATGGACAAGATGGCCAATGGTATTGCTGTGATCATTATTCAGGATGCACATAAATGCAAGTAAGTACAGTAAAATTTCCATTTCAACCAACGTGAGTTAAATGAACTATTCACTTGTACAAAATTCTTTTCAATCTCTCGCCAAAGTTCTGTTGGACCCAACGCTAACGCATTTCAGTTCCATTGCCATCCATTGCCTCTCACATCACATTGACAACATCCATTGCCTCTCACATCACATTGATCAGAAATTGCTTGAAAGACTGGGTACACACAGCTCTTTGGTTTTTGAGGACTACATCACCTGTGACTCTTACGTTAAGACATTCACATCTCTGTCTATAGAAGAGGTAATGGGATTCCCACCAGGAGCGTAGAAAAAACAAAAACATTGGGTGTATACCTCTCATTCCACTTCGTAAACTCAGCCGTCTTTGACTTGTGTCACGCACTTCGCCCTGACAAGGTCGATGATGGTGGTTTTGGGACATTAAATCCAACTATTATTCGACATTTAATAGAAATTAATGATTAACAATGTCTTCTCCCTCCAATCAAGCATCCAGTGGCACCACGAGAGGCCGTTGCTCCAAACACCTGCTGTACCTGTCGTGCTTGCTGTATATTATTGCACTTACTTTACTTTTTACTTTCACACACGCAAGGAAGGGGGGGAGGGGTGCATGTTTTTGATTTGTATGTGTATGAAGTCCACACAAGCTATAATATTGATCACATCACATAGAAAAAAGCTGACGTTTGTAACACCCTCAAAGAAATTTCTGGTTACGCCCCTGCATCCTACTTCAAAAATAAGAAGAGGAGGAGGAAGAAGTAACCCTGTAAAGGAAGCACAAAGTATTTCATCTAAGCAAGCACTGATGTACCAAAAAAAAAAAAAGAAGCCCTTCACTGCCCTAGAGACTGTTGTGCCAGAGAAGGTTCATGAGAGCTTCGGCACAGTGACACTATCCGTCACCACTGCAGTCTGAAGGACACAAATGCGCCAAAAAAGTACCGCTCTCCTCAAAACATGCTGGATTGGTAGAAATTAACATTCCGATAAGCAGCATTGCCTATAAAATTTTCAGATCCCTTTTCAACAACTAATGTTTTCTTTATTTCCTGATAACAAGTTGCAACATACCTGTTTCATTCCAGCAAACTCTCACTTTAGCATGCTTTTTCCTCGGGTCTCCTGAAGTTCATTCAAGCGAAGTTTCACCATACCATTACAAGTGTTTACTAGTCCGTTGAAAGCCGCTAAGGTTCTCATCGCTGCGTTTGCTTCATGTAACCTTGCCACTGTTACACCATTCTAACACCATTCTTACATCACAGACATCATTCATTCATTGTGCCTCAATAATTGACATCTTTTATTACCTACCACAGGACAGAAGGTCTGTGCCAGTTGTGCCCAATTAACCTTGTGAATTTATTAATTATCATACCTCATAGCTTTCTGCCGTTTCCTAAATTGCTTTTCATTACTTGCTCCCATTTCATAAATACAACAGGCTGGCAGTTGGTTATCTGGCCAATCACTATTTTTCTTAATCTTGATGGGAATATCGGTTATGTCTGTTTTTAAAAAAAAATTTTGGGGTGCTGTTGTTTTATCATATAACATCTAGCCAACAACAGTTCATTTCAAAGCTTGTTGTGCTGTGCTTACCTTCAGTCTTCCGACCATGTCCGAACACCAGTCTTCCGAACACTTGGGTACGGGCGTGTCTCATTAATTTTACCCTTAAGGGACCACCTGAATTGGTTGAATAATCTGCCAGGCTGAATTTGGTAAGGGGCAGCAAGAATAACCCACACTGCTAACTGATTTTGCAGTGTTTTCCCCAGCTGCATATGATGTAGTAAGCTATTGCGAGGTACCGCTTACACATTAAGATCTTCTATGAGCAGATAATTCAATTGTAAACATGAGCTCATCACATTTGCTGTACCTGAAGCATCATTAAGCCAGATACTGCTATTGTAACCATTACTGCGCTTACCATTAAAGACAGGCGCTCGTAAAATGACCAGCTAAGTTTGAGTTATCTGGCAAAAGCGGATTTCAGGATTGAATGAAGGATGATCCCATAGATATGTATCTGGCATCAATGCAGACCAGCTGTTTAGGTTGAAGTTACTGAAAAAACAAATTACCAGAATCTTGTTGTGCTAGCAGAATGCATATTTTACTCCTATATCTACACATTGGCTTACGTTTGGGCAAACATTGTTCCTCAGTTGCCTGATGTGCGATACTGTGCTTTCTTTTCTCATTCTAGTGCGTGCATAGGTGTACGAGACAACTACTACCAGAAAATAATGGTGTATGTGTGCGGTGGAGCTGCTGTTGGGGGAATACTCTTTGCTCTTTCACTCTTTGCCATCAACCATGACAGCTCACTAAATACCAGGAATGGTAGCAACGGAGGTAAGAGAGGCGCTGCCATTTCATATGTTCAGATTTTGACAATGAACAGTTCATCAAAATGCCGCTGAGTTTTTTTGTTTACGATAAGAAGCCAGCCTCTTCGTAATATAAGCGAGCTAAAAAAGGCGCCATTGAATGGTTGTACAAGGTTACGGGCCTCAAAGGGGCTTTGAACAAAAGTGAATGCACATGTACTCTATTTTTAAACAGTACAACTGTTTAAAAATGCTTTGTTAAAACAGAAGTTTTACCGCATAAAGATAGTTACATGCTAATGGCAATTTTGAGATTACAGATAAAAGGCCATTCTAGCTGATTATTGTATTGGTCATGCTGTTACTTCTGCAAAACCAGTTTACAGTACTCCTCTACTGCATCGCTACGTCACTTTACGATACACTGCTGCTTTACGATGGAGCTCCTTTATTCAGTCACTATTAGCACTAGCCAGGGATATGCAAAGTAAGATGGCTAGAGATTTTTGTTCTTTTCTTTAAGATGCATTGGTAGTAGTGAATATCAATGCCTGACCATAGCAGAGTGGTGTAACTTGTGTACACAGATTGCATTACATGGTGTGCACAAAAATGTCTCATGGGTCTCAATGTAACAGCAATGAGTTGTGTGAGTACTGTTGTAGCATGCTGCAAAAAGATCTCTTGTGCAGCTGAAACTTGCATTCTCTCTTTTTTTTTTTTTTGTTCCAGTGTCAACGAATACCAGGCCTGGGGATATTGTTGACGTTCGGTCCTCTAGTCCAGCCGAATATGAAGAGAGCATTGGAAATTACTTGCCAACGTCACCACTCCTAGGATCAGCGTCAAGTGCATAGATCCGTCGAGTGCGTGGCTCGCATGGTGCGCGTGGGAGATTCGTTCGTTCAAGGACGCACTTGTGTGTGAGACATTCCTAGGGACATTTTACTCGTCGTCTTCCATCACTGCGTTTCGGTGACGTCTGTTGTGCCCAGAGGGTTGTGAACCCGACGTGGGATGTGGAAGAGCCAGAAAACAAGATTTGACAGGGTTACTGGCACATTCAGCTTGTTGGTCGAGACATTACGCAAAGCATGAAACGGCCTGCATTGCTTTTTCTTCAGCTTTTCTTTTTCTAAGCTAGTTTTGATTGATGCCAACACATTTTCAAGCATTTGAATTCACGTAGTAATGTACACATTAGGTGCATCACTTTGCTGTGCACGTAAACTTTTGTTTCTTAGCATTCGGAAAAAGAAAGGTGCATTTGGAAGTGTTAATGTCTGCCACATGTTACTTCTTTAGAACATTTGGTATGTCCTTCTACTTCTACAACACATATTTTCATGGAGAACTGCAGAACGTTTAATGTCTCTTTTTCCCAGCCTACCTTCCAAGTAACAAGCATACCTCAGTGCTTGTGCACTGTCATTAAGTGGGTATGCATAGTACTATAAGTATTTTTATTGAATCTTCATTTATTATTATTGTTAGAGACAGCGGTAATAATCTCTACCTGTTGCCATGTTTTATAGTTTTAGTACATTATTACCTGCCCATTTTAGTAGAAATGCTTTTATGATAACTATTATACACATTTTATTAATTTTCAAATGGGCAGTTCTGGTATTTGTGATCAAGATGACTTGTGGTTTGGGTGACACATTTTCACTTTTCTGGCCACCTCTACACTCTCTTGCCAACGATTACCAGTGAATGATTACCAACGATTGCATGAATGCTGTTTGCCACTGTCACTACTTTTTTTCTTTTTTGCCATCATTCTGTTTAAGCAGCACTTGGAATCCACTTCAGCTCTCTAGGTATTCTTGGCAGGTTTTAAAAAATTTGCACCGAAGTGTATAGGCCAACAATTCTGCATACCAGTGGTGTTGATTAAAAGCCATGTAGCTGTTTTAAAGAAGGCCATGTTTAACATGAGACTTCTGTTATATGGTTCCTGTTTAGATTGGCGACCAGGTGCTTATTGTCTTAAAAAAAAGCACACATTTTTATGAAATTAAATGCTTCACAGAAGTTTAAAAAAAACACATCGACAAGCTGTCAGCGTTGTGAAACACACTTACTCCGAAAATCTTATGTTCCAGAAATCTGCTAAAAACCCTGAAATTTATCTAAATGTTTCTTAATCTGGTGTAGGACAAGTTAATATTTGCCAATTTAGAAAGAAAGTGCACTGTCAAGGTCTTATTTTTTTCTCGCAAAGTTCGACCAAGAAGCTTTGAGACCCACTGGAATTGGGGCAGTGGTGCATGTTCCACGACTATCACCTCCAAATTTGTATAACACATCATTGCTGTTTGTTGGCCGCCGTGGTTCACAAAAACATATATGAGGACACTGCCAGCACTTGCAAACTGGCTTCATGGGTCAGTCTTATTTTAATTAAATAATTGATAACTTTTTACTCTAATTCAAATAGTAAACCGTTCTCACAAAATAAGAACTTGCAAGACGTATCATTGGGTTTTGTATATATTGTTTTTTAAAGTTTGACACGGTTTGCATGCGCCATATTCAAAGATTGTGTAATCTATCGGCAATATGGAGGTTAACCTTGCTGGCCCAAGTGAAGTCATAAGAGGCTTTGTCTTGTTCTTCTTTGGAAGTGCATGTGAAAACTGTGGAGTGTGTGCTTATCCTACGTATGGAAAACTCTTCAAGCAGGCCTTGATTTATGAACTTGCAAGCCTTTCTCCTTTGGTTAATTATGACTATTTTAATGAGTCGTTCAAGCTTTATTGCTGTGTTTGTGGAATCAGTGTGCATGACAAGAAACTAGTTTCTACATTCACTGCTAATGAGATTATTGTGACTGTTGTTTCACAGTGATACAAAAGTATGAAAAGTACAAAGATTGTCTAATATTGTCCCAGACATTGTGCATTACATACATCTTGCATCATTTTTAATTGCAGCATTGCTCTGAAGTAGAAGTGATGGGCCTCATTTTCCTGCATTCTGATATTTCCTGGCTTATTTACTCCCTTAGCATGCAATTGTTTTGGGTCGAAAGCGTTTTTGCTGTTTATAGTTGAATATGTGATGTGTATATTTATAGAATGCACTTATATAAATATGTTGATATGTATACATAATACACATTATTTACTCGAATTTTGGAATAATAAACATAGGTACTTCGTGAATTTCGTTGCTCATATGCAACCATCCAGTGATGGTTTTCACCGAGCTTTGGTACGACACTTACATTATTGCTTCGGAAGAGCTTCAATATGCATTTCTCATGTTCCTGTGCTGCCCTCTGCCATTGTGGCGAAGGGTGGGGAAAGGGGTGAAACTTGCTTTGTGATACGGGACTAAAGGAATCGCCAGAATGAAAATCTTGGAGATTGATATGCGAACAGAGACCATTGACCTGCACTGTGGAAACCAGAGACCATACCAAAACTTTTCGCAACTTTTTCACTAGGGGAAGGACACATGTGCCGTAGCCCCGTGAAAAAAGGCAGATTTCGCAGACTTCCAGAAACTTCGTAATTTTGGTTTGTCTACTCTTAGCTTCCGTTTAGTTTTGAGTGTACTTCTCAGTTTTAGCTGGAAGGTGAAGCAATCATAATAATTAAATAAACATACAAAGTGAGTTAATTTACCCACATATATTGCAGCAGACAACAGATTATGAACTAAACATAAAGCATGATGGTGTCAATCGATGATTGCCATCAATCTCTGTCACAGCGCTGGTGTGTTGAACAGCACAGGCAGACAGGAACGAGTGATTTGCATTTCGTCGCGCTTCAAAGTGTCAAACGGTGCGGAGAGGTACACACTCCGCACCGTTTTTGCGTGTTGAGAGCGCAGCCAGTAGAAGCTCCCGCCTGCTGTGGGGGGCAAGAGCCGTGCGCTGATGGTTGTTGCGCAACCATAAGCGCCCCCTCCCCTGTTCACTCGCGAGATAAGCGCGCGTGCAGACGGCCCCGGCCATAAAGGCGATGTTCGCTCCGCAGAAAGAGAAGGCTAGCACATTCTTCATCCTCGTCATCATCAGCCTGACTACGTCCACTGCAGGACAAAGGCCTCTCCTATGTTCCGCCGGTTAACTTGGTCCTGTGCTTGCTGCTGCCAATTTATACCCGCAAACTTCTAAATCTCATCTACCCACCTAACCTTCTTTCTTCCCCTAACCTGCTAATATATAGCCAACCACTATACATAGCCTTCATTGATTACGAGAAGGCGTTTGATTCAGTAGAAATATCAGCAGTCATGCATACACTGCAGAATCAGGGCGTCGATGAAGCATATATACACATCCTGAAAGAAATCTACAGGAGATTACCTGCTATCATAGTGCTTCGCAAAGAAAGCAACAGAATACCAATTAAGAAGGGTTTAAGGCAGGGGGATACAATGTCCCCAATGCTATTTACCGCGTGCTTACAGGAGGTTTTCAGAAGCCTAGAATGGGAACAGTTAGGGATAAGAGTTAATAGAGAGTACCTTAGTAACCTGCGCTTCGCTGATGACATTGCATTGCTGAGTAACCCGGGGGACGAATTGCAACTCATGATTACCGAGTTAGATAAGGAGAGCAGAAAGGTGGGTCTTAAAATTAATCCGCAGAAAACGAAAGTAATGTACAACAACCTCGGAAGAGAGCAGCGCTTCGAGATAGGTAATAGTGCACTTCAAGTTGTAAAAGACTGTGTCTACTTAGGACAGGTAATAACTGCGGAGCCGAACCACGAGATTGAACCAACTAGAAGAATAAAAATGAGGTGGAGCACATTTGGCGAGCATTCTAAAAATTATGACTGGTAGATTGCCACTATCCCACAAGAAGAAGGTATATAACAGCTGTATCTTGCCGGTACTTAGCTACGGAGTAGAAACCTAGAGTCTTAAAAAAAAGGGTTCAGCCTAAATTGAGGACGACGCAGCGAGCAGTGGAAAGAAAAATGGTAGGTGTAACCATGGTCCTTCAATACGTCGTATGGTGTAACCATAAGAGACAAGAAGAGAACAGATTGGATTAGGGAACAAACGGGGGTTAGCGATATCATAGTTGAAATCAAGAAGAGTAATTGAACATGGGCCGGGCATGTAGCACGTAGACAGGATAACCGCTGGTCATTAAGGGTAACTAACTGGATTCCCGGCGCATTCTTACCCGTATATATATATATACGTAAATGACGGCGGCGGCGACGGCAAAAACCAGGCGAGACTGTCCATATAATTGCTATCGCAATAAATAACTCAGTTGTACGTGTCCAGTGGTAGGGGGAACAGATCTCCGCCTAAACTGTGACCAGCAGCCCTTAGATCCTGGCGACGTTTTCAGACAGCTGAACGGCCGAGAGTTGCTCTTTTAGATGCGAGCTAAGCAGCACGGCCTGCCACTGCTCATCATTATCTATTTTACGAACATATGAAGACACCCGTCGGCAAGCCCATGCACAGAATGTGCCTCAGATCCGCCCGTTCCCTGCATAGGTGTTCCATATGCCAGCGATGCAGGGAACGGGAACTGGAGATATGGAAAAATATTGTTAAACAATTATATCGGTTAATAATATTGCTACATATATGAGCTGAGAGAGGAGAAGGGGAGGAATACCTGTACTGGTGCAGATATCAACGCCATTATTACCCGACCAACAACCTCGCCCTGCTGATAAGCACCCTTCGACTTTAACCGTAACAGTATATGGGAGGAAATTGTGGATAGTTTGTCATCCTATCACTTTTCCTGAGCAACATTGAAGTAATAATAATAATAATAATAATAATAAGTTGAAGCTAGTTTACCGAAAATGTAGGATATCTATAAATATCGGTCAAGATCTCTCATGTAATCTCTACCAATATTAGACAAAATATGACCTTGTCAACCACATGGAAAGCATTACTTCTAAGGGACGTTGACCGGGAATAAAAGAAGAAAAAAAAAATCACAGCATATCCACCAACGTTTCTAGACTAGGTAAGTTGCAAAACTGAGTGATGTTGCGCGGCACCGCCGCTGCCAGCGACAAATATGGCGCTGCTGTCGCATCCAGATTCACTCACTGCATGCTCGCTCACAGAACACCTAGCCACAGAACACCTACCACCTAGCTCGCTCGTGTCACTCCTGTAACCTCCATCGCTGTGCATGTTGCAGTGCGTCGATATCGGTGGAGGCTTATTTCTGCGTTAAAATTTTTGTGCTTCAGAGCGCCCTGTTCTGCTTTGTATGTGTTGCGTGTTTTCATCATGCCCAGATGTTGCGTTCTCGGCTGTAGAGTAGCTGCAGGAAATAAGAGACACCACGACATTTATTTTGTGCCCACGTGTACCTGAGCAGCGAGAGGTATGGGACCACACTATTCCTCGTGTAGATAAGAAACTGCCTCAGCACCTCACGTGTGTGTGATATGCACCTTCATGAGAAGGACATCCTGAAGACTTTCACTCACGTCATATGGTAAGAAGGTACAAATCGCAAGAGGAAAGTGGGATCTCGTCGAAGGAAGCGGTTCACGAATATTCCCGAATTTGCCCGCTTACCTTTGTCGCGGGGCCCGCGATAAAGAAGCGAAAGCTGCCCGATAGGAGTGGGGTATCTTCCGGAATATCATCAGTGAAAAAGAATAGAATATCTCCGAACACTGAGCTCGAATACAGTGAAATAGGTCTCGACATGCCGTCAACTAGTGGCGTCATTTCGCTTCAAGACATAGAAAACATTATTTTGCATGCTCGCGGAAAGTTGTTGAGAATGGCGAGACAAGACGTCTTGTGGTGTTTCTAGGGCTCAAAGAAAAAAAAAAAAGAGCGCTATTTGTGGAGAAATGCGTTGTCGTCGCAGAAGACATGACAGTCACCATTAGCAGCCGTCACCATCACTTAGCCAAGTCGCCTGGTAATG